GATGTCCTCAGGTATCTGTGGATCACCTCCCTCCCTCCTGCCACTGGCCCAGCCTCCTATCAGTTTGACATGTCCCAGAGCAGGGAAGCCCAGGGCTGTGTCACCAGTTGGTCACATTCTGTACATTTGTGAACCAAGAGGAGGTGTCTGTTGAGATTTTGCCCCACCCAAAACCAAATTATTAAAAGATTTATCTCCCACAAATGTGAAAAATACTGTTTCCCATCATTTAAACCTCAAAATTCTCCTTCTCTCCCTCCCTTTCTTGCTTCCTTTGTTCCTTCCTTTCTCTCTTAGACCTTTATGGTTATACACAATAGTTGGGTTCATCCTGACAAACTCATACATGCATAGAAATTAATTTCAGTTCACGATCCCCCACTTTTCCCTCCTGTCCTTCCTCCCCTCACCCCTTCTCCTTCATCTACTCTAATAGACTTCCTTTCACTCAGGTATTAATTTGTGTTTGATTGGTTCTTTCTGTAATCTTAAACTTCCCTCCTCCTTTCCTTTATTTTACTCTAGTTTCCGCATATCAGAGAAAAATATGACCTTTGAGTTTCTAAGTTCGACTTATTTCACTTAGCATGATAATCTCCATTTCCATCCATTTACTGGCAAATGCCATAATTTCATCCTTTTAATGGCTGAGTAGAACGCCATTGTATACATGTACATATAATGATTTCTTAATCCATTCATCTATTGACAGGCATCTGGGTTGATTCCATAATTTAGCTATTGTGAATTTTGCTGCTTAAAACAATATGTGGCTGTGTTGCTGTAGTATGCTATTTTAGATTCTTTGGGAAAATATGAAGAAGTAGGATAGCTGGGTCATATGGTGGTTCCATCTCTAGTTTTTTAGGAAACTCCACACTGCTTTCCAGAGTGCTTTTATTATTATGAAGTCCAACCAACAGTTTAAAGGTGTACATTGTCTCCCACAACCTAGTCAGCATTTATTGTTTGTGTTCTTGATCATTGCTGTTCTGACTGAAATGAGAGGAAATCTTAGTGCAGTTTTGATTTGCATTTCCCTGATTGCTAAAGATGTTGAGCATTTTTCATATATTTATTGACCTTTTTGTGTTTCTTCTTTTGAGAAGTTTCTATTTAGTCATTTTGCCCATTTATTGATCGGATTATTTGTTTGTTTTTTGGTGTTAAATTTTTTTAGTTCTTTAAATATTCTAGATATTAATACCCTGTTAGAGGAGCAGCTGGCCAAGATTTTCTCCCATTCTGTAGGCTCTCTCTTTATGCTCTTAATCATTTCTTTATCTATGAGAAGTTTTTAGTTCAATGGCATCCCACTTATTGATTCTTGGTTTTATTTCTTGCACTTTGGGGGTCTTGTTACTGAAGTCAATGCCTACACCTATATGATGGAGTGTTGACCCTATGTTTTCTTTTAGCAGTTGCAAAGTTTCTGGTTTAATTCCTAAGTCTTTGATCCATTTTGATTTGAGTTTTGTACATGGTGAGAAAATTTTGTTTTCCTACATATAGCTATCCATTTTTTCCAGCACCACTTGTTAAAAAGGCTATCTTTTCTCCAAAATATATTTTTTTGGCACCTTTGTCAAGTATTAGATGGCTGGGGTTTGTGGATTTGTCTCTGTGTCTTCTATTCTCTTGCATTGGTCTTTCTGTCTATTTTGATGCCAATATCATACTGTTTTTATTACTATAGTATAATCAGATTAGTAAATCTCAAAATTCTTAAAAAGTACTTTTGGAGATTTTCCTTACCCAGCTCAGCCTTGTACTCTGAGCTGCTCTCAGCACCTTTTACTAGACAGTTAAGTGTGAGTGCTAGGGACACAGGTACCATCTGGAGATGTGGAGAAGTTGAAAGTCTGAGGAACCACTGTGTACGGCACACATTTATGAGCCCAAGGTGGCTCAGCTCCCTGAATCTCAGAAATGCTAGGCTGAGCTGCATCTTGGTCCCCAGTGAGGGGTGGAAGAGAAGTGTGCAAGAGTACATCAGGAAGGGAAACCAAGTCAGGGAAGGGCCCTGGCCAGGGCTGGCAAGCACTCCCAGCAGCACCCTGGGGCACTCTGCTTCATGTAGCATGGCTTGCAGAAGAGATGGTCCTTCGGAAGGTAGCAGCCCCTAGTCTATGGGTTCCACAGACAGAAGATACTGCAGTTCAGCATCTGCAAGAATTTTCATGAAAGTTTCTTCCTATGAACTCGATTTTGAAGGCATCCTTCCTACTCAGGGGGATGATAGGATTCTCACAGATGCTGAACACAGGGCAAATTTCCTGTAGAAGTCCTCCAGGAAGTACATCTGGTCTGGCTGTCTAGGGCAAAGCTCTCTTTCCTGATGCACCTCACCATGTGTGAACCTGGTGCAGTTCACTCGTGGGAAGGAGGCAGAGTAGAAGGCCTGGCCCAGGGCCCTGGCAATGTGATCCCAGACCACCTCTTCACACTCTGCCTCACTTCTCCAGGGTGTCCTGGTAGCAGAGTTCACAGGGGGCTGCCCATCCTTCTGATAGACGCTCTGCCTGGCCAGCTGGTGGTGTCAGGGACAGCAGGTGAAGCACTGGGCATGGTGTTGCCTCTTCATGGCCTCCATGGCCCGTTCTCAGGGGGACACTATCTTATGGCAGAAGGCACAGACATCTGTGGAAATCTCTCTTTCCAGGAAGTCAACGGGTTCCTTTGGGAGAGGTGGCAGCTCCTTCTCTGAGGGCTCGAGGTGACTGGGTCAAGGCTGGACTGATGTTCCCTCTGTCAGAGCCTGTGGTGGGGATGGGGGCAGGTGCAGTGGCTCCAAGTCCAAAATGAATGATGCTCCTTTTGGGGGTTCCTCATCAGAATGTGGCAGGAGGAGGTTCAGGTCACCAAGTGTGTCCTCGCCATTTGGGGTGGGGAAGAGGGAGAGCATCTTTGGTTGGAGAGCTGAGGTGGTCTAGTTGGCACAGGAGCTGCAGTCCTGCTAGAGGGCACCCGAGGGCTGGGTTTCCCCGCTGAGCCTGCCCCAGATGCCTTCATGGAGGCAGGGGACTTCCAGGGATGGCCACGCCTGGCCTCACAAGCCACCTGCTTCTTCAGTCATAGCCACTTGCCTGCATAGAGGTACGAGGGTGATAAACACAGATAAGGTGACCCTCTTCTTGGGCTGTGAGACCATTGATCCAGCTCCTGCTGGGACAGGGAGACCTAAGTCCCAGAGGTAGGCCAGCTCTACTGCCTGGCCTGCTGGAGATTGGTGCTCAATCCTGGTTAGGCCCTGGGATTTGCCAGGGACCTGAGTCAGACATGGGCTCTCTAGCCATTCCCTGAACATGTGACCCTGGGTGGCAGGCCATCTCCCTGAGCCTCAGTGCCTTCCTGGCACCTCTCCAGCATGGCCTTGATTTGCTCACAATGGCATTTTAAAGCCTATGCTCTTGGTCACTTAGAAACTGCTTTTTCCATCCACACAGAGAGCTAATTGATAGGACAAAACAATATAACTTGGGATGTAGGAGGGGTATGTGTGTGGTAGTAAAAAGGCAACACAAGGAGTCTTTGTGTGGTGGAAATGTTCTATATCTTGACTTTGGTGTATATACAAAACTACCTAAGTGACAGCATTGTGTAAACACACACACGTGCACGCACCATACAAGTAAAACTAGATGAACCTGAATAAGATCACAGGATTGCATTAAGTCAATATCCTGGTTGTGATATTATGCTATGATTTCAGAAAACACTACCATTGGAGAAACCTAGGAGAAGCAAATAAGGGATGATCCTATAGTATGATTTGAGGGGATCTACTGATTTCTCAAGAACAATTTAAATCATAAAAGAATACAGTTTGTTATTGGTTCTGAGACTGCCTTCCTTGATGAACTGAAGAGTAACTGCAAGATGGACAGAATATCCTCTGAGGATATATTCTTCCCGAACATATCACACTACTTTTCTGATGATATATATAAATAAATAGTTGAGATTTGATGCCAACGAATATAACTTTATGAACAAGTGTAAAAAGCTATAATAGCTTTCAATGATTTTTTAAAAATATGTTTTAGTTGTAAATGGATCTTTTATTTAACTTATTTATTTATATGCAGTGCTGAGGATCGAACCCAGGACCTCACACATGCCAGGCAAGTGCTATACCACTGAGTCACAACTCTAGCCCCTTTCCATGATATTTTACCTCTGTAAACCTTAATAAATTCCATGTTTTGAAAGATTTAGGACACTATCCCAAACCATAAATATGAAACTTGAAGCAACACAAATTGTTTAGTCTCTGTTCATTTTACCCCATTTACTGAAAGTGCAACAGAACTAAAACAGGCTCCAGACTACCAAAAGAGGCCTTTTTGAGCCATGTCCTCCAGCTGCTTCCCAAGATTCTCTACTTCAGCTTGTGTGGACAGTCAATAAACTAAACTTTAGCCACCATTGGGAATGTCAACATGAAGTGACATTTCAAGAATTTAGCTGGTTCCACAGATAGCAAACTTTTAGAAAAATACATAGCCTTGTGCGGTGGCACATGCCTATAATCCCAGCTACACAGGAGGCTGAGGTAGTAAGATTGCAAGTTGAAGGCCAGCTTCAGCAATTTAGTGAGGTCCTAGGCAACTTAGCAAGGTCCCATCCCCAAATAAAAAGGGTATGGGGTATAGCTCAGTGGAAAATAAACCTGGGCTCAATCCTTATCACTATTTTAAATAAAATAAAATTACATTAAATTAAAAAGTAAAAAGGAATGAATATGTAGCTTAGTGGCAGAGTGCTTGCCTAGCATGTGAGAGGCCTTGGGGTTCAGTCCTAAATAACACACACACACACACACACACACACACACACACACACAAATACGAGTCAAAAAACTATTGCCAAACATCTCAAGAAACTCTTAAAATCCAGCTGGTTTCCTCCAGAGCCTTGTCTTCCTTCTGTGGGTTTGCTCTTATGCAAGTGTGGAGCATTTATTTGGTTCAGAGTATTTTCCTGTTGTGTGACTGTGGTAGAAAAAAATCAGTTGTTTTGAATCAGTTGCACATTCTCAAAGACTATTCTGTGATTGAGGATGTATATGAACTGATTTCTTTGTATCAGGATTCCTGGTTAGAGAAGTGATTGATAATAATGAAAAAATAAAATCACGTTTTTCTAGCAAAACAAAACCAGAGTTGCCCTGAGTATTCATTCCTCATCTCTTCTGCACCAGATGCTGCTGCTGCATCTGCCTTTCAGGCTTGGAGCATCTCTTCCACCCCTAACACTGCTTCTGCCCGAAGTCAGAAGAGGACAGAGAATTAGAGAAGCCCTTTTCTTGGTGGCTTCATCTCATAGACCCATCTATTTGGTATGAGCTGGAAACTTATTATCAATTATTCTTTATGATACTATATACTTGCATCATTGAAATATAGTTAATCTTTATTAACAGATGGCTATTACAGAGGGGGAAAATCAAACTCTTTCATTGGGCTTAGGGAATTAGCAAGTTGTCCTGAACCCTGAACAATGGCAGTTCTATTATTGTGCTCTGAACAAGTGTATGTTTCATAAATTTTTGTTATCTGTGATAAGAAGTGAGAAAAAAAAATCCATAAATGGACAATCATGGAGCTATCCCTATAGAAACTTGGTGAAGACATTTGGCTTAAAAAAACAAAAACAAAAAAACCTTCCTTTTGAAATGTTTCTATTATTGCTTTATTTTAAATAAAAATCTGCCTTTACTGCCAGAGCTATGAATATATCTCAGAACTTTCCAAAATACCTGACAATTGTGGTGTGAGGTCAAACCACTGAAAAAGACAATGGAGTGGATTGATGCACAGAGGAGAAAATCGCCTGCATGTCTGGGCTTCTTCCTCTCAGGCTCCCACGAGCTCTGCCGAGAAGAGGCTGCCAATGGTGTACAAAGGTCTGCCTTTGGCTGCAAATAACTGTGCTATTCTGAGGATATCAAGGCCTCTCTAAGGCCATGAAGCCAGTCTACTTGGGAGTTGAGCTCAATTGTAAAAGAATTTCAGATTCCCACAAGGAAGGTTCTAGTGGAGCACACTAAGTCAGAATGTAATCAGAATGAGATGAATGCCTTTAGAAAGGTACGTGTGTGCTGAGAGTAGGCAGAAAGCCAGAATTCACTATTCAGTTCTTACAGTCTCAGCCCTGTGGAGGACTTAGTTTGGCCTTGGTCCCAGCATGTAAATTTCCCTCTCCCTTCAAGTAAGCTGTGTTACCAATGACAGTTGTAATGACGGGTAGAAGGGGAGGAAGAAATCTGCACACCCATCATTCCTGAAAAACCAATTGTGAGCCCAGCAGCTGTCTTTATAGGCAAAAGGTAGAATTTTCACTAATAATCAGAAAACTAAGGTCAAGTTACCTCAAATAATGTTTCTTCTGCTATTGTTCCCATAGTACTCTGGACCATGCCAGGATATAAAGTTGTTTGGGGCAATGGTTGTGGGTGTTTAATCAGAGGAAATTGTCTTAAGTCAACATGCTTCCCAATGTCTCTATTTTTGCTAATGGTACCATCATTTTCCTGTCATCCAGCCTTGAAACCAGAGACTCACCATGAACTCTTCCATCACTTGTTTCGCGTCAGAAGCCAGTAGAGAGTTGATCTATTACTTTCCTCCCATTCACAATATCTTTCTTATCTGTCCCTGTTCATTTTCATTCCTATCATATACCTTAATATGGCCATGGTCTTTTAACACTGCAGTTTTGTTCCCCTCTATAAACTCATGTTCCATGTGGCTGGGTTTGTAGCTCAGTGGTAGAACACTTGCCTAGCACGTGTGAGGCCCTGGGTTCAGTCCTCAACACCACATAAAAATAGATAAATAGAATAAAGGCATTGTATCCATCTACAACTAACAAACAAACAAAACAAAATGAGACTCATGTTCCAAGCAGCATTTCATCATGTCACTCCTTTGTGTGAAAGCTGTCCACGGGCACATGCCTGTGTACTAGTAGATAAAGGTCTAAATTCAACCAAGTATCCTCAGGCTACAAATATCTGGCCTGGAGTTGTACTTTCAATCCTATCTCCCTATGTGTGAAATATGCATTCTTCCCAAATGAGTCTATTCACTGTCCCTAAAACATTTGACTCATTCCTATTTTCTTTGCTTTCCCAAGACTGTGACTCCCGCCTGGAATGCCCTCCCTTGCCACTACTTAAGTCATGTGCCCCGAATGCATAGTTAACTTCTCTGGGAACAGCTCTTGCCTCCCCAGCTAAATACCATACTTAGTACTGGGCTGGTTCTGTAACCTTTGCTCTTTCGCTCTGAAGAACTTTGTCCTTAGAGGTATGTGGAGCTTTGTTTCTATAGCTTCCTTATTTCAAATAATGAAATTGTGGCAGAAAATTATGGAATCCAGGCTGTGGTCAGTTGCTGACTTTTACCCACATTTTGGAACTTAGTGGGTTCTATATAGTAAAATGGCTTCTATATATTATACAATTTAATCCTATGTGAAAATACTGAAATTGACTATTATTGCTGAAAAGAAACTGAGAGACTGTCTTATACCTTTCTATTTCAGGTGAGGTTCACAGACCCTGGTGACTGCAGTAAGAAGATCATTAGTTCGAGGCCAACCTGGGCAACATAGTGAGATCTCATTAAAAAAAAAAAAAATTGAGGTTCACAGACCAACAGCATTGTATGTATGACCTGGGAGCTTATTTGAAATGTTGAATCTTGGGCCCTAAGCTGGCCTACTGATCCCAAGATTCCTAAGTGATCTGTGTGCACAGTAGTGTTAGAAGCATTAGGACTCTCCCTACCTCTAGATCCAGAACAATTTTATGGAAGGTGAAAAGAAGGAGGCCATGTGAGCCAGTGGAAAGTATTCTGAAATATGAGCCAGAAGCTGTGTGTTTCATGCCATGCACCAGTTTGTGATTCTGAAAAAAAAAAAAATCACTGAATCATTTTGGGCCTAGTTTTCTGATATTTCAAATGGGAATAATACCTCCCGGTTGTTTTATGAGATTGAAAACAATTAAGCAAGAGAACAAATGTGAAAGTGATTTTAAAAATCACATAAGGTTCATACATGTGGTTAAATCATTATTATTGGTGTTTTAAAAAATTTGCTTTTGTGAGTCAGACATCTGGGTTGTGGCAGAATAAGGGCCTATGACGCAGCACAGCTCTCCTGCCTTCTAGTCCCATCCACACGGAGTGAGGCTCCATCACCACAGGCTGTGCAAGGCCCTAGGTGTCGCAAGGAGCAGCTGGAACCATCTCTCTGAGAAAGGAATTTGTACATTTCAAGAGTTTTTAAATGTGTTAGTACCCTGTGACCCAGTCTTTTCTACTAGAAATCTGCCTCGAAAAAATAAACAGGAATGCAGATGAAGAATTTTAAGTAATTATGTTCACTGAAGATTGACTCAGAAAAAACAGAAACAAGAACAAAACAACTGCAAACAATCTGAATACCCAACAGTAGGGAATGGTTAAATAAATTGTAAGACCTCCATATGTGGTACGTCATGCAGCTATTAAGATTTTTCTTTAAGGGGCTAGTGCTATGGCTCAGTGGTAGAGCACTTGCCTGGCATGTGTGAGGCACTAGGTTGATTCTCAGCACCACATATAAATAAATAAAATAAAGGTCTATCAACAACTAAAACAATTTTTTTTCTTTAAAAAGAGTTTTTAAGGACATGAGAAAATGTTTGATGTCATACTAAGCCAAAAAAAAAAAGAAAAAAGAGGTGGATCATAAAATTATATATTAAGCATGATCTCAACTATGTTTTAAGAGCTGTGTGGGGAAAAGTCTACTAGGAAACAGGAAAATATGAATAATGCTTGTTCTGGGAAGTGGAATTTTTTGGTTTTGCTTTTCATTTTTTAAAATGATACTGATTTTGATCAATGTGCATGGGAATGCCTGAAAGAACGATTACTTTTTTTTTTAGATAATATGCATTTAAAAAAATTTTTTTAGTTGTCAATGAACCTTCATTTTATTTATTTATATGTGGCTCTGAGAATCGAACCCAATGCCTCACGCATGCTAGGCAAGAAGTGTACCACTGAGCCACAACCCCAGCCCCAAGAATGATTACATTTTTTTTTTTTCAGGAAAAGTCATCTTTACTCTAAAATGCATGCAATGGAAATATAGTCGTGTTTGTTGGTTAATGGCTGTGGCTGCTTTATAAATAGTTTGTCTTATTCTTCCCCTATCCCTTCCCTCATTTTGAACAGAAAATACATGCACTAGATTAAAATATGTGTATGTATACATGTATATGTACATGTATAATTTTTTAGACCCAACAGTACAATTAGACACACAACATATTATATCTTCCTCCCACCCATTTCCTCAGACCAATTCCTCTTCCCAGAAACAATTACTGGTATAATTCACTATATTAGTTTCTCTGTTCCCTTTCAGAGGCAGTATGTGCATTTCCCCCCAAAGGTAATATACTATGTAGATTTTTCTTACTTCTTTTTCTTTTCTTAAAAATAACTTTTTATTTTAAAAAATTCAAGTCTTCAAAAGTTACATAAATAGTAGAACTCCTACATATCTTTACCCAGATCATCAATATTTTGCAATTGTAGTCTCCCTCTTGTATATATATATATATACATCTGTGTATTTTATTTCAATTTCTCTTATTATTATTATATTTCAGAGTAAGTTGCAGACATATTTACTCTAAATACTTGTTTTCCTGTTTCCTAATTACAAAAATATTCTCTTACATAACCATGATACAATGATCAGATTCGAGAAATTTAACATTGATATGATGCTATTATCTAAATAAAATTTTATCCAAATAAAAAATTTTTCCAGTTGTCCCAGTACTCTCCTTTGTGGCATTTTCCCCTCATACCAAGATCAGAACCAGCTGGACACATTACATTTTGTTGTCATGTGACTTTAGTCAACCTTACCATGATATATTTTAGAGTCTCTCTATCTTTAATGACATTGACATGGTCAAAGAGTACAGACCAGTTGTTTTTCATGCACCATCTTTTATTCAATAACATGCCTTGAAGAGAATTTTAAGCTATTAATAAGCCAGCCTTTAAAAAGATTGCTTTTGGTAATGGGGATTGAATCCAAGGCTTAATACATATTAAACATGTGCTCTTCCCCTGAGCTATACCCTCAGTTCAGGCTATATAAATATACATACATATGCCTATATATATTACAATACTGGACGTTGGACCCAGGCCTTGAGCTCTGAGATATAGCCCTAGCACTTTTATTTTTTATTTTGAGACAGGGTCTCACTGAATTGCCCAGGTTGTCCTCAAATTGAGAATTTTTCTTTCTTTCTTTCTTCTTCTTCTTCTTCTTTTTTTTTTAATTTGTTGTTTTTAGATACACATGACAATAGGGTGTATTTTGACATGTCATACATACATGGGTTGCCATTACAATTTGGATACCATTCTTGTGGTTGAAACTGATGTGGAGTTACTCTGGTCATATATTCACATATGTGAGCATAGGAAAGTTATGTCCAATTCATTCTATTGTCTTAAACTTGGAATTTTTCTGCCTCATCCTCTGGAATAGTTCAGATTATAAGTGTGTGCCATTGCACTTGGCTTTCTTTGAACAAGTTTTTGATAACATGGGTTTTCCTGGTAACAAGCTAGTACAAACACTATGTCATCTCCAGGTTATCCTGGCAAAACATATAAAACCACGAAATAGTTTATGCTTACTTTCATACATATGTTTTTTTTTTAAGGTAGCCCACATCATTGGAGAGCAGTATTCTTGTTGTTCAAAGAAAAAAAAAATTATTTTCTTTCTCATGCTATCATAAGAGTAATATATGAAAAAAAGAGTAATATATGCTCATTATAAAAAACAAATCCAGACATTTCTTAGAAGTATAAGTAAAAATGCAAAATACACCTATTATCTCAGCATTTAGAAAGAACCACACTTCATAGTTTGGGATATAGCCTCCTAAACCTTTTGCTGTGAATATTCACACATTTGCTTTTTATCCCCAAATGAGATAATTCTATTCATGTGATTTTATACCTACTTTCTTTCTCCCCTCCCCCCATGGTGTGGGGATTAAACCCAGGGCCTTGTGCATGCAAGAGAAGCACTCTACCAACTGAGCTAAATCCCCAGCCCTGCTTTTCCTTTTAACAATACGTGACGGACAGTTTCCCATTTCAATAAACATATATCTGCATCATCATTCTTAATAGTTACAGAATTTTCTACTATATTTTTTTGTTAATTTATTCAATAAATATTCCTATATAGAATAGGCACTGATAAAAGCTCTCGGGATGCATTCATAAGTATTAAGTCTTTGTTGATACAAATTCATTAATTAGCCCTGTATTACTGGATGGCAAAGTCATTCAATTTTTGCCATTATAAAAAGAGCTATGATGAATATATGTCCTTATTTTTTGTGCCTTTGTCTAAATATTGCCTTAGAATAAATTTCTAACTGTGTTAATCACTTGACAAAAAATATTTATATTTTAAATCAATCGTGGTGGTGCATACTTGTAATGCCATCAACTCCAGAGCTGAGGCAGGAGAATTGCAAATTTGCACCCAGCCTCAGCAAACTAACAAGACCCTGTCTCAAAATAAAACAAAAAAGGAGATGGGGATTCACCTCAGTGGTAAAGCACTTGCCTATCATGAAGCTTCAACACCAGCACAGCTAAATAAATAAATTAAAAAATTAATGGGAAAGGGGTATAATTCAGTGGTAAAGCACCCCTGGGTTCAATCCCCAGTTTAAAAAAAAAAGAAAAAGAAAAAAGGGAAGGAAGAAGGACGGACGGAAGGAAGGAAGGAAGGAAGGAAGAAAAAAATACATATATTTTAAATATTAAATAAATGCAGATTGTCTTTTAGAAAAATTTTGCCAATTAATACCCAGTGCCCAGTATGGTTTGTATTCTTGCCCACACTGAGTAGTAGTAAGTTTTTAATCTTTGCCAACCTGATAGACCAAAAATTAAAATAAATGTTAACTTGTTGGTTTTTGTAAGTTTTAACAACTCATATTTTCTACCCTGGGATGTTCTTTTTCTTAGTGATTTATATAAGAAAATTATGATATATTTTACAACTACTTTCCAATTCTTTATTTATCTTTGTCCTTGGTTTATGGTATTTTAAAAACCATATTAAACCATATCGAAGCTAATTTATTTTTCTCTATAGAACAACCGTGTGACTTACTTATCCATGTTTGTTTGTTTGCTTATGGTGCCAAGGTTTGAACTCTGGACCTTACACATGCTAGGCAAGTGCTCCACGACTGAGCTACATCCCCGGTCCTAAAGCTTTTAATAATGATTGATGATTAATAAACATACTGAGTTGAAAGTGTTTGAAATAAGCAGAAGATAGGCTTTTTGTCAACTTGAACATCTCCTTTTGAATTTCTGGCAGTGCATGTAGGAGGTGATCTGAAATCCGTTCCTTGGTGGGGTAGGTTGGAGTAGGTTGGGGTAGGTTCCTGCTAAGTGAAATGCAAGCTGAGTGATTTAAAGAAAGGGAGTGGAAAGAGAAGTAACCATCAACCTGGCTGCAAGAGATCTGGGCAGGAAGATATGGTGCAGAGGAAGAGATGTGGTAGCTGAGGTAATGAGTGGAAATTTGAGGAAAGAAAGAAGTTTAAAGATAATTTTTAGGAAGTTTGTCAGTAAGATAGCCAGTTCTCACAGAACCTGTAATAAAAACCACATCTATACACCATGCTTTGAAGTTGGACTTAGACCTACTTTGTGATGCCAAGTGGAAGACAAGCCCCAAGGCAGGTGCCAGTGAAGCAGGGTGGCCTAAGGCAGCCGACTGTGTGGAAGGTCTGCCCTGTCGTCCCACGGAGGGTGACTCTGCAACAATCACGCCACCATTAGAAAACCAATTCCACCCACTCAAGGTAACTCTTCCTCTCTCAGCAGAGGTCAGTCAGGAATTTGTGCCAATGAGATGTCAGAGGAGGCTTCCTGAGGGACTTCGGAAAAGAGAAGTGCCTGGCTCCCGCTGAAAGAAGACAAGATCTGTCCCAGATCATGTGGACTGGAGGGGAACTTGCCTGAGAAGCTAAATGGGGAGGGCGAGCCATGGCTCTCTAAAGATATTCAGCCACTGCAGCAACCATCTCTGAAGTCCACCCCACCTCGAGTCCATCCTGTTTCGTGAAATAATAAACGTCCTTAATACTTCAGCCTGTGGGAGTTGAAACTTTGGACATTTTGACACACAGAGGAAATTTCAAGCAGGAGTTCGAGCAAGTTGGAACTCTGGCAAAAGTGCTAAATTCCTAAATGTAGTAGTCTGGACATGGTGCCAGATGTTTAGACTGGGCCTTTGCTCAAGAGCTGTTTTGAGCGGTCTTGGTTCCCAGAACATGTTATGTTCTCTCACCTCAGGGTCTTTGCCCAGGCCATTCCTTCTTCCTGGAAGGCTCCTCCCTCTGCTCTGGCTCTATTAGGAGTCAAAGACTCTAGAAAGATTTCTCTGAGCCTTCAAGACACAGTTGGGTGTTCTCATGTGTGTCCTGGTGTTTTCCCAGGCAAAGACCTTTGCAAACTGTGTGGAAACTGCCTCGATCTCTTTGTGAAGACAGGGACTACATCTGTGTAAGTCACCACTGTCTACACTGAGCCTGGTGTATTGCCATGCTGTGTTCAATATTTGCTGAATGAATGAATAAAAAAGCTTTTATTCTTCCT